TTTATGAAAAAGCTAAGATCTTAGTTCAGAAGCTTGGTATTCATCCTTTAAAGCAAGTAACGGCTGGCTAAGAAATTTTAAGTGCAGACACAGTGTCCGTCAAACAGCTTTGTTGTTTGTTCAGCAAGGAATGTCTTTCAGCACTTGTAAGTACTGTACGGTAAACTATATAATATGTTCGCAAAAGTGTAGCCTTTTTTATTTTAATTAATTTAAACCTCTTTTTCTTTAAAAATAATTTGTTCTCCCATTTTCAAGTTTTTTGAAGTATGCGCTAGAGACTGCTGATATTGAAAATATTTTGAAATGTTTGAATAGCGACACCCGTTGCTTTCCTGCGCAAAATGATCAGCCCGCTGAAAAACTCTAAATGGTGTTGAAACGATACACCAATGCCGGAAACCGCTGCCAAAACATTTATAAAGAAGAACCAATGGCAACTCGAGAAACGAGAGAAGAAAAGCTCTCTATCTGAAATACAAGTTTTCATTGATCCCCGTTAGGGGATGGTAAAGCACTGCACTGTTGAAGTAAAAAAGTAACATTGCAGGAAAGAGGAATTTCTATAACTTCATATTTAATGGCAGCTTTTCAATTCTGACAACAATCCTGGATATAATTTGTACTACTTTGATTTCAGATAAACCCAGAACCATAAATACATCAAAGTGAGGTCGGGGGGATCGAGGTGGCCACGAAACTGCAAATTTACTTTAGATAACTCTACCTTGGAACGTAATTCCAGTAACAAATTTGTCCATCTCTTTTCTTGTCATTTTTCCTTCACGATGTTCTTCTTGCAGATATTTTGCACCATGAATTTTTTTCAACCATACATGGCGTTAAAACGTGTATCGTTTCAACGCTATGTATGGTGCTTCCACGCGCTGATTAATTTGCGTAGAAAAAAGTGAATGCTGCGATTTTAAAATTTCGAATTTTTTTCACTGCAACTGTCATCATGAGAGCTCTTGTTTTAAATCATCGTTTCAAATCAAATTTTCAAAAACAATAGCTGAAACTTAATTTAGATTGATTCAACAGACCCTTAGTTTAGTTTAGTGACGGAGGACGTGGGCACCATCCCTTTACCATTATGGTTAATTGGTTTAGCGCCACGTCCGCCCTTATCTAAAGCTGACTCATGTTAGGGCCACACGAGATCCACTCATAGGGCACATTGATTAGTGTTACAAAACATAGATATTAAAAATGGTTACATCTGTGTGAACACAGTACTTATGAACAAACCTTTAGCAAGTGACACATAAGATTACAATTCAATACCCTAGCAAGTAATTTTAGCAAGTTACATATAAAGTTTACAATTCAATACATAAAGAAGATATATCATACATAATGATTATATTATACTGTTGTGATTGATAAGTGACGACATGAATTTACTAATGCAAAATTCAACATTTAAACTCAGTATGCAAAAACCCAAGAACATACAAATGCTTATATTTCATACATTGCCAACTTAAATTTATAGTGAAGAAGTATAAAAATACTTAGATCTCACATAAGTCTCTAATATTCTGAATGTCATTGTTAACTTTTATATTACAGCTTAGGGGTTTATATATCGGGGAGGTTTTTTTTATGACTACCCTGTATTATATGTATGTATGTAAGTATGTATATATATACGAGGTATGACACAAAAAAAGAGACTAGGAGTGTAGCTTGAAAAAAGAGTGGAGTTGGCAACAACTCTTTTGGTGACGTCATCCCACACACCTCCTCTATCCATGCGGCCAGTTTCGACTTAACCGATCACACCATTTAGAAGTATTGCGTCATTGATCGAACATGTGCAACTGCATTCTGCAGGAAAAAAATGTCTAATGTGAATGAAAACCGAACAGTGAATCAACATCAAGTTTCTTGTGAAACTTAAGAAATCAGCCACGAAAACATTTCAAATGTTAACTGAGGCTTATGGAAATGAAAAACTGTCTCGTGCACGTGTGTTTGAAGGGCGTAAGCGGTTTTCAGGGAAAAGGGACAAAGCACGCATGTCCAAATCAAAATTCAAGGCGACGTTAATTGTCTTCTTCAACATTTATGGAATTGTAATGATTGAGTGGGTTCCCAGTGGCCAGACTGTTAATCAACACAACTACATTGAAGTACTAAAATGACTGTGTGAAAAAATTAGAGACAAACGGCCCAAATTGCGTAGTGATGGATGGCTGTTGCACCAGGACAATGTATCTGCTCAAACGGTCCCATCTATTAAGTACTTTCTGACCCGCAAAAACATTACTGTGGTAGAGCATCCTTCTTATTCACCTGATTTGGCTCCATGGTCTTTTTTTAATTTCCTAATGAAATTTAGGAATTCCTAATTTTCCTATTTCCTAATTCCTCTTGCTTAAAGGGAAGCCATTTTATTTCAATTGAAGAGGTTCAGGAAAAAATGGAGAATCTCCTGAAGGGCCTTCCAAAAGCCTCGTTCCAGAGCTATTACCAGCAAAGGCAGCACTGAATGAGGCAGTGTGTGAATGCTGAAGGGAACTACTTTGAAGGTGATAATGTCACGGAGAACTGACTCTGTAAGTACACTGGTTTATTGAACCAGTCTCGTTTTTATTTGCGTCACACCTTGTATATATATATATATATATATGCGTGTGTGTGATGTACCAGCTTTAGTCGTAACTTAAATTATCAGACGATAAGTTTAAAAAAACAGGATCCATTTACTATTATTGAGGAGAAATAGCAGTTACAAAATCAGATATCCGGAGTAAATAAAAAGAATTGCTAATAACTTTTTGTACGAAGTTTACTGCATCGGGACATTTAAGAAAAAGCACCGATATTCCTTTGCGAGTCCTTTTATAGCCTCTGGAAAGGCGGAGCTTCCAAGAAATGACGTCAGCCTCGTCAGCCAATCCAGTTCGCTTTAAATATTTCCAGAACATTCTATAACTGTACGTGTAGAAAAGGCGGGAAAAACAACTTGACCACGGGGCTGCGGATTTAATTCCACGTTCTTTCAAATAAGAGAACGTCTCCATTAAAAATGAAAAGAACATACAGTTAGAATTTTAAGTGTATTCTTGCTTATGGAATTTTATTATTACAAATATATATATATATGTATGTATATGCATGAGCGTTATTTGAAATCATCTATCCAGGATAATTTCAATTTGAGAAGATTTTGAATTATTTTTAATAGTTTTTCAATATTTAACTGTTTATATCCTAAAAGAGTAATGCCACTATAAGATTTACAGATTTAAATCTTTTGAATCCTTTAAGTAACCTGCTTTCCTATTTAATAAAACATAACTCTAAGTCTCGTTACATTTCTCACAATTTTTTTCAAAATATAAATTAACGGCTTCTAAAACATTGCAATGGATTAAATATTTAGTAAAATAAATCTTTGTCAGACATGTTAAATAAAAAAAGTTTTATTCGAATCATATACATAAATAAAAAATAAACAAAAGTGACAATAATCTTGCACATATCAGCTATCACAATGTTTCAACAAGGCGGCGATACAGCTTCATGTACCCATCTGCAATAACCTTAACTGCATACAAAGTTAGAAGTACTTTAAACGAAAAACAACACATTTATTTAATACTATAAGGGAACAAAGTAGGCGTTATTATGAAAAACACGTAAATACTTCTGATATACTAGGCAGACTTTCGCTATTGAGCTTTTCAGTTAATCTACACAATTAGATTTTAATTGTTTACTCTTTTTACTAAGTTTTATCAATGGAATAAAAGCATGGTGGTCTACTAACAGTAACTCCAGTATGAAAGTTTAAATACAGAAAAAATCTTATTACTAGAATTTAGAAAAATGTAATGCTATTAAAAGCATTCAGATTTATTTATATACAGGTGCGCAAAATATTGATATAAATCTCATTTTGTAATCCTCATATTGTATATTTTAGTTAGAAAATTTTATTAAAATTTTAATAAATTAATAAAAGCTTTCAAAATATTCTTCTTAACAGATTTAAAATCATATTTAATCCTAATATAGTTTTAAGAGAGAAATCTCAATTTAATTTCCATAGCATAAAACTAAGATTTATCTGTTATTTAAAAGTGAAGAGAAAACAAATTCCATAAACACATGTTTGAAATAATTGGCTGGATAATCGTCCTTAATAATAGCAAATTTAATGCAAATTTTTTGGTGTTAGTCGAAAAGAAAATTTAAGGTTTATACTTAAAACGTTGAATAAATACATGCTTAAATAACAGTATGTATTTATTCAACGTGGTAATTATTCACTATATCACTATTATATCAATAATTAGCTCAATAATTATTTTTACTAATACGGAAGAATTTCGGAACGGGCTTATATTATCTTTGAAAAAAAAAAAAAAATACTTTTCTTTCGAGAGAAATTTAAGAACTATTCAAAGCACGTAGTATAGAATTTTCAAAAAGAATCTATAACAAATTTCAGATAATTTTATCAAAATAGTATAAAAAAGCTAGACAGCCTAAGCAAAAAAAGGTGCTGCATGTCTTTTAATGAAACTAAAAGACAAATAGAAAGAAAGCATTTAAATTTAAAAAGATTTCTGAGACTCAAACTTATTACGACAAAAAGTCTTGTGCTCAATATCTGATATTTTTATAGTGCATAAACTAATATACTGCTAGATACGTTTAGGAAATTAAAGAAATGTGACAATGGTAATTAAGTGTTACGAACTTTAATGAAAGGAGAGAAAACGCTAAGAAATAAGTCTAATTGCTTAACCCTCTAAGAGGCAAGGTCGTGTATATACGGCCTAGAATATTTTTACTTTATCTGTAAGAACGTATATATACGTGCATATTAAAATACGTCAAAGAAATTAAGGCAATATATCAAAAGAAAACAAATCCAGCTCTGAAATACCAGGAGAGTTTTTACATTAAAATCACAAAAATAATTTGTTCTCGAAGTAGTTTTAGAAAATTTTTGCTTTCTTAGGCCAGGGTTTCTTAGGGAAAACCCTGGCCGCTCAGAGGGTTAAAGGCAATAAAAATTTCAATATTTCACATAATTATCCTAAACTGGTAATGAATAATTTAAATTTACTTTTAAATGGTTTGACCCAAGATAAGTAGAGCGAATAAAGCTTAAAATTACATCTTTTTTTTTAACAAATTTATGACTTGCTATCATAGGCAGGTAGGTACCTTAAACTGTACCGCCGCTTTGCAGTCTACAAGTAAATATTTATTAATCTAGGCGTTTGTATGTTATAAAGGATACCCGAGGGCTTGGAAGGCGGCAAGAGGCTTAGCTCGTACGTATCCAAACTGTGGTGGTACAGCAGCAAAAGGGGGTAGCAGACTAGCATAATTTCTGACAGCATTCACATAGCCCTTCCCCTGTACGAGGTTGGTATAGTACGCAGGTGGTGGTGGTGGAGGAGGTGGAGGCCCATAAGCAGCGAAATTCTTGGAAACGGGAGCAACTCCAATTGGGGCGGCTGCCACAGGAGCAACTGGTCTGTAATAAGCTGGAGGTGGTGGCGGAGGTGCTGCTACTGGAGCTGGAGCAAAAGCAACTGGTGCAGCTGGTGCTGGAGCAGAGTAGATGTAATTGTACTGTGGTGGAGGTGGCGGAGGTAAAGCTTTAACAGGTTGAACGGGTATCGCCGGTGCTGGTTGCGGTGGCGGTGGTGGTGGTGGCAGTGCCACTGGTGCCACGGGAGCAGCTGGGAGAACAACAGCGGGTTTGTTTATTGTGGCAGAAGCTGGGTCTTGAGGGGCTACACCAGGTTCATTAGATGTTACGTCTGCTCGAAATCCATTTGCATCTGCGACGTATCTGACGATCCTTAGACGTCCGTCAGCATCTCTTAAGCCAAATGAACCTATTTTGTTACCAGCAGCATCACCTGTTTCTCTTCGAAACGAGGATCCGGAAGGATGTCCTTCGCTGTAACCAAAATCATAACTACCAATACCCTGTGAAAGTAATATAAAATTTTATTCACTGTGTTAATATTTCATCATAAATATATTCCACATATTAATCATAAAAATAACCAATGCATGGGTTTTAGTGATGTATATTCTTAATCAAAAACCAAAAATATACAATCATTCATATAAGAGACCCTATTGGAACATCATATCATAATATTCGAAATCTTCTGTAACCGCTAAATTTAAAACTACTCTTGATGAATAATTGTGAGGAGAAATTGTATTGTATCACGAGAAACCGAAGTTACGGAAGTTCGCAAACTTTGAAGCCATATATATACTTGAACTGAATATTATAATACTGATACTTTAACTAAACTAACCTTCTTTCATTACCTTGTAATTAATTTAAGTTAAAATGAGATTTAAATTCTGAGAAAGTCTATGGTAAGAGATTAAACAAATTACAAAATAATTAGAAAATACTCAGAGTTAATTGTATAGTTAATTACATTCATTTATTAGCCGAAAGGAAATGTTGAGATTAAGCATTGTGATCCGAACATGAAACGTGTCTCTCCATCTTTTTGTTTAATCTAATAGGAACTTTCGAGCAATATAAATCTGGTTTATCTAATCCTAGAGTAATTAGGGTCAATTATAGGTTAAAAGGTATTATAGGCATTTCACCGTGGCACCTGTCGGGATGTAAGTGGTTTGAGCCTATAGCGGTTGAAGTAGATGGCCTATAATTTGAATAACAGAAGTGATTTGTTTCGCTTCCCGCTTTAATTTTGTAATGCCGCCTCAATTAAAAATGCTATGAATAGTACAGATTTGTACTAACTTAATCTGCCTTGTGGTTTTCTCTCTTCACACTTTTAAGCGGGACAGCATACAAGGAATTATCGCCTTTTTTCATGCGCGATCATATAATGTAAGTAGTTAGCGTGATAAATTAACAAACTGGTTCAGTTCTTCACACTTTTCGTTCCAAAAAGCCACAAATTTCTACTACGTGAATTAAATTAAGGCAAGTAAGCTAATGTATAATAAGACTTTGTAAGTTATTCATTTTGTATTTACATTTTTCTTTTATATAAGATTACTTCAGAGGTTCGTTATTTTAATTGAATTAGGACTATTTTATATCATACGGAACATTTTATATAACGAATCAGTAAGAAAAATGCGTGATTTCAAGTTTTTCAGAGCGTGATAATCATCAGAGTGTGACTTAAGGGGACTCATACACCTTAAACCCCTCATGATCTTTGAATATGTGACTGTTGCAAGAATTTGAATATTTTATTATTTTAAAAGCAATTACTTCCAACTTTTTACAGCTGACTGCATAATATAGCTGCTTTGGAAACTAGTAACCAGAAAGTTTGTGTTGCCACAAATATTTTTGTAATTTAATCCTCTTTGTGACAAAATATTTCGCCATGTTTCCACCTAGCGCGCATGATATTTTAAAAATGGCTAATGGTACATTATTGAAATTTGATGGAATTCTTTATGTGGGCACTATTTTCGAACTGAACCAACAATCTGATAAATATTTTTTATATTGAAAAATTTTATGGACGAAAACGTTACAAATTTTGTTAATAAAATACATTTTATAAACTCAACTCAAAATAAAATAAAACTTGAACATGAAATTTTTAGAATTTTAGGTTCACAGTAGTTTCCAAATGTTATAAAACCTATATATTAAATATGGAATTAAATTATGAAACAGAATGTTTTAAACTGTGCGCGCAAGTTGGAAACATGACGAAAAATGTTGTCACAAAGCGGATTAAATTATAAAAATATTTGTGGCAACACAAACTTTTTGGTTACTAGTTTCTAAAGCAGCTATATTATGTAGTCAGCTGTAAAAAGTTGGTAGTAATTGCTTTTAAAATAAATAAGTTATCCCAATTCTTGCAACAGTCACCTATTCGAACATCTTATGGGTTTTAAGGTGTATGAGTCCCCTTACTAAGACTGGCAAATTCGCGTAGTTTTATCATCACGTTATTCGAGACAGACAAAAGTTTTGAGGGAAAATAATAAAAATTACTCTGATTAGTAAAGTTGTGATTTATCGTTAACGCATTTTATAAAGTACAGAAACATTTTTAGTGGTATAAACAATCTCTGCAAGATTTGTATTAATTTCTCAGAGGGTAGTATATTTCATTAATATTATTTATAAGCTGCAAAAAGACATTATACATACACACAAATCCAAAATACTTTATACTAGCTCGCTACGATAATATCTAACTTCCATGTTACCAGAATAATGGGTTCTATAATGGATAATGGTATTTGATATTCCATTTCATTACGTTATTTTCTAAGGATGCTTAGGAAATCGTTTCTTTTGCAAGTATTTATATTTTACCAGCATTAAGAATATTTTCTTAGTAAAAAAATAAGTATTTGAAGAGGGGATGAATTTTCTTCGGATGTTATTTAAAATGTACCTACTTTCTATCAAAATACAAGTAGTAGTATTTAAATAGATATTTCCTTATAGGTGTGAATATGAATTTTTAGATTTGCGTTACATGTTTTAAAATTTAATTTCTGTATTCACTGCTGTACTTGTGCGAAGCAATATTTTTTCTAGAAGGAACACAATAGAATCTATGCAAAGAAAAAAACTGGTGGTTTTCAACATTAGGTATTGCAAAGTTTAATATCTGATTACATCATATGATTACATCTTGCTAATTAACTAAAATAATTCTAATACAGCTTTTAAAGAAATATTAGCGAGTGAGTCATAATAAAAACAACAGTAATGGTAATTAGAAAGTTGCTAGGAAAACAACTGTAGCGTTTTTCTATTTGGGTAATGATACGTCGGTTTATGATTTATGCTAACTACAAGATTACATTTTGTTCAGAACAGATGCAGATGCCTAAGTTAATTATAATTAAATAATACAAAAAGTTATAAAAAGTCTAACTGAAGCGAACAACAAATGCACCTTCAAGATTTGAGTACTATTACGTATATTTAAGACTTCCATTGGTCAGAAGATGGCGCTACGTTAGCTCTGTTCTGCGTAAAGCACCAATCACAGGTTTCAAATCGATATGTGCATGCAAATTATAACTGGATGTCATAATAATTAACAATTTAGATAATTTATCATTTAAATTATTTACTTATTAATTTATCATCATGATTTGTAATTAATTTAAAACATTGAATCATCATTCTTTGGTATAATTATGAATAACATAACTCTCAGTTACGGGAATCAACAACCGAAAAGAATCGGAAAAACTTTAAACTTTCTGCTTTTTTCTTGCTTTAAACTTTCTGCAATCGTGGGCTTTCCTGTGATCATTCTCATATAGAAATATATTCAAATCACACTACAAAATTATGCTTAATTATTTAATTAACAAGGTAAAATCCTTTGAAGTAGTATATGTCTCTCAAAACCTGCAACATTGTAAATGCAGACTTCGCGTGAGGTTACAAAGACGCTAAATATTCATTTAAAATTAAATGCAGTTTAATTGATTGAAGAGGCAAAGCACACGAGGGCCCTGTAACAGCTTTAAATAATATTAAAATCTTGTAGTTTAAATAATTTAAATAGATGAACATTAAGGTATTTGTGAATGGGAATATTTGAACCAGACTCGAGTGCCTCGTGCGACTCTCGCACGAAGAATGTAATTTATTTTTAAATGTTAGAATATGTTTTTTTTTTCTTGTTTGTATGTCGCCATTTTTTTGAGTGTTAAATAAAAGTTATTGCTGTGTTCCATCATTGGAGTTGCTTCATTTTCGCCAATGAAGTATCACAGCCCTGTCGCTAAAGAAGACGGATGCTTCTTGGAGTATATAATTTGACTGGATCGTATTCAATCTGCATATGATGAAAACCATAAAAATTCCCATGTAATCAGCCAGTTCGCGATGACATAAATCCGTCGAGTTACCGGCTTTCAGAGGACTTTTAACCACTCGGCGGCTCATGGGCCATTTAAAGATAAAAATTCCTTTTCTAAAGTTGGTTTTATTTAAGTAAACAATGTTTGGAGGCACCGGCAAGATCGAATAATCGTGCGTATTTTTATTTTATTAGTTCATCATTGAACATAATATTAGTGATACCAGATTATTACCTCCTGTTAATTTTGAATTGCTTTATGTTATTAGTTCATCACTGAACGCAATATTAGCGATACCAGATTATAACTTCCTGTTGATATTGAATTGCCTTATTTTATTAGTTCATCACTGAACGTAACTTCCTGTTGATATTGAATTGTCTTATTTTATTAGTTCATCACTGAACATAATATTAGTGATACCAGGTTATTACTTCCTGTTGATATTGAATTGCTTTATTTTATTAGTTCATCACTGAACGTAATATTAGTGATATCAGGTTATTACTTCCTGTTAACACTGAACTGCCTTATTTTATTAGTTTATCACTTGAACGTAAACTTAGTGATACCATTTTAATGCCATTTCGACTAGAGCTCAAAGGAAAAGAAAAATAGCTGAAGAGCAGATCTTGGAACCGATGAAGGAAGAAAATAAAGCATCCAGAGATGTATTTGAAGAAGAAGTTAAATCACCAGAATTAAAAGAGGAAGATGTTCACGAAAATTTAAAAAACGATAAAGAAATTAATATTGAGAATCATTTTGCAATGCAGCGTTATCATCATCTTTCGGCTTTTGATTTAATATCAAAGCCGCTACTAATAGATGAAGAAAACAATTGTCGAAAGCAAATGTCAAATGAATATTATCCGAAAGGCACAGATGAACTGAGGAAAGGCTTTGCTGTGAATTATAGCCGAGGAACTGGTCCACCATGGAAGAGATCTAGGCGCCGTCAAGGAAAAAAAAGAACACTAATTTGAACACTGGTAATTTGGAAACTTATGAGAGAAGTTATCTTTTCTCTTTAAGCAATTCAGCAAGCCGAGCTTATAAACTTTCGAATTTTACAGAACTTTTCCCTTCGGCAAAAGTCTCTCCGTTGGGGGAGAGGTTGTAACAGCTTTAAATAATATTAAAATCTTGTAGTTTAAATAATTTAAATAGATGAACATTAAGGTATTTGTGAATGGCAATATTTGAAACCAGACTCGAGTGCCTCGTGCGACTCTCGCACGAAGAATGTAATTTATTTTTAAATGTTAGAATATGTTTTTTTTCTTGTTTGTATGTCGCCATTTTTTTGAGTGTTAAATAAAAGTTATTGCTGTGTTCCATCATTGCAGTTGCTTCATTTCGCCAAAGAAGTATCACAGCCCTGTCGCTAAAGAAGACGGATGCTTCTTGGAGTATATAATTTGACTGGATCGTATTCAATCTGCATATGATGAAAACCATAAAAATTCCCATGTAATCAGCCAGTTCGCGATGACATAAATCCGTCGAGTTACCGGCTTTCAGAGGACTTTTAACCACTCGGCGGCTCATGGGCCATTTAAAGATAAAAATTCCTTTTCTAAAGTTGGTTTTATTTAAGTAAACAATGTTTATCATAATTAAAACGTTTTGTTTTAAAGAGATATCAAACATTGATGCATATGGCGCATTTTAGCGAGAAAGAAGAAGGTAAAGGTATGGGGGACACCAGCGATGTACTATAGGTCAATTGGTAATCCCTTCCCATACTAACTCTTTGAAAAAAAAGGGGGGTGTAATTGCAAGTTTTATAAGAATTTGCATAGACTGAAGCTTTTCAAAAGGTCTAGAGTTTGCCTATAATGGTACATCGTGCAATTCCACGGTACGCCCCGCATCCAGTATTTATTAAAAATAATGGTGTAGGGCATAAGTAGATTACAAAACAGTCGGAATACAATTTGAGATTCACAAGATAAATGGAACATCTGATTTGGTGCAACGAAAATAGGAGATAAACATAATTAATAAATAAATAAACATAATGAGATAATTATAATTAGTACTGGCAACACAATGTGAAAATGAATTGTTATAATAATGCTAAAGAGGTGGGTGTCCATGGGTTATTTCAAATATATTGGTTTATTGCAGTTTATAAAGTTCACGAGCGGATCCATTTTGTCCATAATCACAGCATGTAAAAGTTCACTAAGTTTAAACTGTATGTGGACTTACACTTGGCAGAGATCTAGGCCGTAGGAAGAGAGTCGTTGCATAATTTTCTGAAACTTTGGATATTGATGTTTATATTTAATTAAAAACCTTTGAAATGCCAGGAGGTCAGTTCTTGGTGACTTTATGTGAATATCCTTGGTTCAGGGGCATGAGAAAGTGTAATGATCAGGAGTTCCCTGTTCCCCACATATACAGATATCAGAATTTGCCAAATTTCTTGCGTAGAAATATGTGGGGAAGGGTCCATGTCCTGTCATAAAGTAATTTTAGTGAAGGATTCAAGTTCAGAGATGCGAAGCTTACATTGGGGATGAGGTTATATGTGCGTCTTCCCTGTGGAGCATTGTTCCACAAATCTTGCCAAGATTTTGAAGCAGCGAGAAAGAAGAAGGAATTCATTCATAGCACCATTAAATAACACCCTTGTTGCCGCAAATAGGATGGACTCATCACACATTATTTAATTTTCTAAGCAGCTGTAATGACCGAAAACTAAATAAAACAAATACGAAAAAAAAAAAAAATCTGAATGAATTTTAAATTACGTCCAAAGGGGCGTTTTTTTAACGTTTTGAGTGTTACCTTTATTTATTAAATATCATGTTCTTTGCACTTAAACCATAAAATTCAGTTCAAGAGCAATATCGCAAAATAATGTTAAATTAAGCATATCTTTAGAATTTCCGATATACACAGTCTCGCGAGCTGGAGATAAAAGTATTTTTTTTTCTATATAACGTTGCCATTTCTCGCTTTTAAAGCATTGAGTTTGTAAATCAAAAATTCGTTAAAGTTTTACAAAATATAAAATCTATAATGAAACAAATTCCAAATTTGTGATTTCAGATGCCCATATTCGCAGTAGGATTTCGTCCTTCAAAATTCGATGGCTCTATGTACCATTGTTTTATCAAAATGCGAGAAATAGACAATCATTTATGCAGATTTTTCATTGTTTAATTTCTTCAAATATAATGCAGGACTCTAACATTTTGCAACAGTTTGAAAAGTGAACCGACGTTTATGAGTCCGACGCAAAATCGCAAAACGAAAACAATAGTCCTTCAGGGACAAAGCCCTTTGGACTAAAAAATAGAATGGATGCCGCTGTTAAGTACAGCACAGATCATTAACATTCAATTTAAATGCTACGTCCAAACAACAAGCATAGCGAAAGAAAATAAACTGCAAGCTTCATAAAAAAGGTAAGTAAAACAAATTCAAGGAACAAATGTGTCACAGCTTCTATAATAAAAATTAAAAAATGTTACAAAGGCAAGTTATAATAAATAGTCAATAGATACAAATGGATTTCAACACTAAATGATAATACATAATATTTAACTTAGAATAAGTAACACGAATTAATTTAAAATATAGGACAATTACGCAAAGATCTCAATGGTGGTCCGTCGTTCCGAGTAAACACTAGTGTCTTGAAGGACTACTTACGTCTTGGTTATTGAAAGTGACTGCAGCTCCCACGTCGTCCGGATTTCTGGGCGTGAGGATGACAGCTGCTTGACAACTGAAGAGCAAAGTCAACAGCACCCAAATCTGTGAGGAGGAAAAAAAACAGGAATTTCAAACATGCAAAGAAGCAAGGAATAGGTGTCATTAATCAATTAGATTCTCGTCCTCGAACTGTAAGCGAGGCTGTGTGCCCAATAGCAGCTTGCATGTTTAACAATAAATGTTGTAAATAAGGGAAATGAATGTATAAGCTAAAGAGCTTAAACAGCTTAAAATTTATAATTTAGAAGAAAACGATTATACCATTCTGAAAAAAAAAAAAAAAATACACAAAATGAATTTTAAAAATAAAGAAACCCATTATATTTTAGAATTAAGTAATACGCAAGATGAAAGGTAAAAATTATTTGAAAAATTGTTTTAGATATACAGTACCCCGCTTAACGCGGGGGTTACGTTCCATCAAAGTAGAGCGTAATGCGAAACAGCGCTAAACGAGGCTATCTTAACATGTAAATATTGGGGTTAGGGGAAGATGGCTAGGAAATTGGTTAGGTATTAAATTTAAAAAGTATGTTTTTTTAATAAAAATAAAACCAAACATTTATTTCTTAAAGCCCAAATTAATACCACATTATTATTTCTTGCAAAAATAAAAACAAAATATAAATAACAAAACGAATATTCTTAAAAAAAAACAAATAAAATTCTAAGTCAGTCATATTTAGTTAGCCTTCCGCGTTTTCAGTGTTCTGCCTTTTTGTGACAAAAGCATCTAATGTTGTTTGCCTTTTAATTTTTCCTTGTTCTCTTAAAAGTTCTTCATAAACGGATAGAGCATCTCTAACACCACGCCTTACTTTTGAGCTCCTGTCAAAATTCGGATCATTTTCAATGAATTGATCCATTATTTCAGTTATGGTAGACAAACTCCTTTTTACAAAGGCCATCGAAAGTTCTTTTTGCTCTTCTTCTGAATCACTGCTGTCAACATTTTTGTTTTCTTCTTGTTCAGTTGATTCCTTGAGCTCATCGTTAGAAAGACTAGCCGCTGCTTCTTGAATTATTTCTTCGACATCTTCCACATTTACCCCTTCAAAATATGTCTGTACAATACCGCACCAAACAAGAAATACAAGTACACTCTTTCGGATATGTATTTGAAACCTATCGCTGCATAATATTTCGGGGAATCCCCGTATGCTGCGAGCGATTTCGTGGAATCCCCGGGTTGAAATAAAAGAGCGCTAAACCGAAACAGCGCTAAACGAAACAGCGTTAAGCGGGGTCTTTACTGTACCCGAAAAACCCAAAATATGAAAACGCAAACTGATTATTCCTATTTTAATGCTTCAATCGACTCGTCAACGGGTAATATTTTAAAACATAAAAACCTGAACAATTAAAGCGTACTGAAATCATGGTTCTTTCCTCATTATGAGCAAAATTAAATAAAATTTAAAAAAAACCTGAAAGTTTTCAGATTTTAAATTACGTTGTAAGGATCCTAAGTTTTACTAACGTTTATTTTATTTTAAATCTTTACCATCATTTCTTATTTTCTACTTCCGGCCAGAATTAAACGCTTTAACTTATTTATGTAAATTGTCTTGCTAACGTCAAGTACTTAAGTTGTGGCTTTTTGCCAAGCAAGAGAGAGGAAGGAGTTATTGGAAGCGAACCGCTTGCCATTGTAGTTTTACGAGTTTTCACTCGGTTGCTGGTTGCCTTCAAGGCCAGAGGTTTAGTCCTCTTGATAATTGCAAACGTATCGTAGTTTTAGCAGCTCGGCGTACTACATACGGACCTTTGTTAAAATAAAGGCCAATCTTAATGCTAGGCACTTGTATACCAATTCAAAGTTAGTTTTAGTTAGAGTTTTAGTTAGTAGTTTTTATATTCTTACGTTCAGACCACAAAGTGGTTGGTCTCTGTATCCCGAAGTTCGGGAATACCTGCAAAGATAGAAAATAAAGGGTTTCGTATACCCTTCCTGCTTGTATTGTCTACTTCACAATTTCTTGAACATAGCTTGAGTAAGCTCCCTGTTCCGAGTCAGGATCATTCATGTTTCCAAAGCAAGTCAAAAGAAACACAAGAGTCCTGATAACGTCCGAAAGGGCGTTTTTTAACGTTTTGTGTATTACCTTTATTAAATATCATGTTCTTTGCACTTAAACCATAAATTTTTTCACTGGCGTTTTCCAAACTCCCAATGCATTTCAAAACGTCCGAGATATCATGCTTTTGTCACGTTACGAAATGTCGGGAACGTTATAAGGTATTTCTCCCACCTTCCTAGAGTCCTTCGTGGTGTAGTGGTTCTGCACGCTGGGCTGGTATTCCAGAGGTCCGTGGTTCGATTCCCGGCGAAGGCGATTGCTTATTTTTCTTGTCTGCTTCCAATTAACCTAATGACTCTACAACCTTTATCATCAGGAAAGTCAGAATTTACTTTTACCATCTTTAAATGTTAATTTGCGATCACAATGTATTCATATTTTCCATCGTCATACCTCTACGGGTAGCTTTGAACAGTTTTCTGGCAACACTTCCTAATACCCCTCCCCCCATCTCGTTAGAACTTTTTTTTTCCAATGGCAGATTGTGAACAGTTACAGGGTAACACAGTCCAGTAATCTACACAAGGCCAGATTTGGTGGTCTCTTTATTATGGAGGCACCTAATAGGTGGGCCACCATCACCTTCTATGAAGGGACGGACAGTTACAACCATACCTTCTCCGGGATTCGTACCCAGGCTCTTCGGTATCGACGTCAGGCTTCCCTAACCACTATACCGTCTGGGCGGCATCTCGTTAGAACTACACTTTCGAATCTGCATTGCTGTGTAATTTACCTCCTATATGTTTGTTTCTCTAATTTTGAATCACCGTGTGCAAAACATACTTGGCTGTGCTTTCTTAATAATCGTTAATTTCAGCTTTTTATTTTTGTGTTTCATGTGTAGTAAACGTAAGTCACTTTAAACTAAGTGTTATGTCTGAGATTTATTACCCAATGCGTTATAGCTTTCAGAACAGATAAGAGGTATCACGTCATTAGAAAAGACGAGTGGCTTATCAAGCAGCGTTCAAACCTCCTAGAAAGTGCTGAGAAGCCGTTGTTGGTGTGGATTAACAAGAAGCAGTTCAAAGGCAATTCAGTGTAAGCTATCATAAAGGTAAACTACGGTTATATTATTTACCAATGTTATTTATTAGAAAAATTGATTTTTATTTTGATATTTTTTTGGGGAGGTGCGGAACGGATTAACTGCATTTCCAGTATTATCAATGGGGAAGTTTTTTTCTAGATACGAGAAATTTGCTATACGAGCTCAATGCTGGAACGAATTAAACTCGAATTTCGAGGTTCCGCTCTATAGAGGCTATTATTCTATTATAATCTATAAAGGCTATTATGTCTATTTAGGAACTGAATCATCCATGCATCGATTTCGGCTAAGGTGTTTAAATATTTACATATCTCGCACCACAAAAAAGCTATATTTTCCACAGTGTTACACTAAATAAACAATTCTACTCAATAAGGCTTAACAGTAATAACCGACAAAGATCATCTTTACTTGCATGGGAAAACATGATTTCAAGAGAAATCAGCATTTGTATTTATAAATCTAGATACACTGCAATTGCTAGTCTAATTGTAATCACTAATTGCTATGATTATTAGTAAAACTAATTTTTACTTTTGTGGAAATTTCAGTTTATATTTTTTGCCAAAGAGGTTTTGTCCCTGAAGGACTATTGTTTTCGTTTTGCGATTTTGCGTTGAATCACTATAAATGCCCGTTTCACTTTTCAAACTGTTGCCACCAAATGTAAGAGTTCTGCATTATATTCGAAGAAATTAAATAATGAAAAATCGTCATAAATGTATGCATATTTCTCGCATTGTGATAAAACAACGGTTCATAGAGCCATCGAATTTTGAAGGACGTAATCCTGCTACGAATATGGACATGTGGAAGACCAAATTTGAAATTTGGAGTTTGTTTTATTATTGATTTCATATTTTGTAACACTTTAACGAATTTTTGATTAACAACTCAAGGGTTTCAAAGCGAGCTATGGCAACACTCTATGGGGGGGGGGAAGAAAAGCTTTTATCTCCAGCGCACGGAACTGTGTATCGGAAATTGTAAAGATAGGCTCATTTTAAAATTATTTTACGACATTGCTATTCAACTGAAATTTATGGTTTAAGTACAAAGAACATGATATTTAATAAATAAAGGTAACACACAAAACATTAAAAAACGCCCTTTTAGACGTAATTTAAAATCTGAAACCTTTCAGATTTTTGTTTTTTTAATTTTAGCTTTTAAACATTTTAAGCTTGCTACTAAACAGGAGTATATAGTATACTTTTTCATTTCAAAACTTTTGTTGCTTTTCTGTTAAAGATTTTAAGAACGAATTTCTCTATTTGTTATTTTTAATTTTATTATATGTTTGTTAGATTAAATTTTTAAAAAAAATTTCATTTTTTAATGTGTTGGATTACTTCTGTTTTATATGTTTTTGGACTCGATCCACTCAAATTGAAATTTTTTATTATTTTTTAAACTTTTACGCTTTTTTGTGAAATGCTCTTTAATTTTTTAGTCCAGCCAGCATGCTTCCAAAATTTGCATTTAGTTTAGTTTATTTTTCAATTTGAAATTAAAAATATTGCATATAGTTTTGTTTTTTTCAAGTGTTGGATTATTACTTTTGCAAGTTTTGTTTCTTGGATTCGATCGATTCAAAATATTTTTTTTAATTGTATATTATTCGCAGTCTTTTTGAATTTGTTTATGTTTTTGATGCTACGATTTTTGCACTGTTTACTGTAACTCGTAGGTGTTGGACTGATAGAGACAAAGATTAATTTGATCGTTTTTCTAATATTAAAACCGGATATTTTATGTATTTACTTCTTTTGTTGTATCAACTTCCCTGATGTAACGAAAGATGCAAATAGCATTTTCCAGCATCGGTTTTGGCATGTCCCCACTTCTATTTCTTGAAGTTTTCCACTGTGCTTCTGGCCTTTTTGGTATTTGAATGTAGTTTATTCTGAACTGAATACAGGATGAATTTTAAACGTATTTTTGCTTTATTTTACATTATTACCACTATTTGATGTTGCTATCAGCGTACAGCTGAATTAGGTTTGAATTGTTTTTTACGTTGTACTTATTCCTTTTAAGTCGCTATCATATTCCTATATGAATGCTTTTGTTGACACAAGAGATATCATGTCCAGATAGCTAGCTACAAGTAGAGCCGTTGTACGACACTTGACAATAGATTAGCTGATCTTTCGTGTTTGTTGCTCCAAAAAGAGTCTGCTATCTCTACATATCTACAAAGACAAACTCTCTACAAAGATGTCTACAAATTTCTAGTTGACAGCAGAATGAAAGCAAATTTTTAGTTTACTCTCTCATTTTTTACTGGTTTTTCTTTTCACAATGCTGCTTTCCTGTGCCTCAGATATACAAATTACATTCAAGGAGCAAATTATATTATATTGCTGTAAAGTATTAGTAATAGACAATTGCTGTTTATCAGATGGAAAAATTTCCTAAAATGCAGCCGTTATAAATAATAAAACCTTTATTATCTGCAATACATACACTAATGTTTACAGTTATAAATATCAATAAATTCAAAAGTTTTTCCGAACTGTATAAGATGCTAGACGACAATGAACTTCTCAAAAGCATAACGTAGGAATTATTGGATAGAAAATTCATCTGATAGTATGACATGAAGAAAACAATTAATAAATCATTCAACTTTCATCGTTTTTCATCTATTTTCCAGTCTAGGGTTGTAAACTCATTTAAAAATGGCGTGATGTGGTAAGTTATTCTACAGAGATACTTTTGGCTTTGATTAATTAAAAGGTTGGCGTTATTGTTTTCAATAAAAATTAATATTCATTAAAGACTTAACAAAACAACTACATTCTATTTGACTGATCTATACAAGGCGAATAATTTCTAAGGGCAAACTAAATGAATTCTTTTAATTACAGCATTACTGGCAGTAACGGAAACTTAATAGCAGCGTGAAATGTTGCAGCATAGAAAAATTAATTACTTCTAGCAAGTAAAAATCCAGTAAAAGTGATATTTCTGACAAAAACATTCGATAACAAGACACTTCCTTATTTTAATTAACGAAATTGTCTCATGAATTAACTTTATGTAATAGTACCTGATATTTTTATTAAAAAATTAGTTGTGAAAATTAATTATATTAATAAAAAGTTATAATTTCTCCTTTCTGTACTCGATAATTACAGACATATCTTTATGAACACATTTGAACACTAAATATCTTATTTATCAAGGACAAGAAGTAACATCCTTTTCAAATAATCAAGACTAATCAATTTTATTTCATAAGCTATGTGAGGAAGTTAAATTTTGTTTAACCTTGTTTTTAATCTTAAGTGAATTTTTTAGCAAGGCTTATTAACTAAAATTTAAAACAGATAATACACCTACTCTTAGAAAATGCCAATAAGTAATTATCACTTAATTGGTACATGTATTAAACTCTTGGCACAATTTACCCATTTACGGAAATGTAAAATAAACTGTGGTCCTTCAGATTTATAAAGCATGTAATGAATCAAATTAAAGTAATCGAATCAGTTTTTCTGTTTCCTTGTAAATAGAAATATTTAATGCAAGCATAAAGTCAGGGTCGGATTTCTTTCATACATGTTCATGCAAAACGATATATAAATTAAAAAGGAATTTTCAAGTTTCCAAACTCTAAGTAACGGATTTCACTGAAAAGGAAACTACAACTTATAAATTATAGTTTTATAAATATTTTTCTTATATTTATAAATAGCAAAAATACATTCAGGTTACTATAACATAAAGCTATTTTTTTCACATCGAAATTTGAAAGAAAAGTTTCGCATAGGCAGTTTCAATATAGTTATGTCAGATATTATTTTCATAATCAGGTTTTATTTTTAATGCAGACTCTGTATTTAACTAATAAACTTAACAAAAAATTCTATGGTAAATATTTACAATATTTAACTTTACAAAAGTCTTTTTTTTCAGTATAAATACAGTATAAATGTTTTGTAGACTAATTTTCACAAAATGTAAATATTTTTCTTCGATTTAAGAATAAGAATAGAACTATAGCTTAGAAGTTGTTCAACAGCAGATCTTCTATTAATATTATGCTATCTTTCAAAATATTATCAAGACAAATGTTATAAAATTGTTCGCTTTGTCACATTGCTGAGTTTTCTACTGTTAAAATATGGAAAGTAGTGAAAAATCTAATGGTTCGTAAACGGGTAATATCTCGTAAAATTTGCGTTATTCAAATTTCTTTAAAAGGAACTATAACACTTCCTGGTGTTAAGGGGTATCAGAAACCCCTATACCGACAATGTTAAATTGGCCCTTTTCGATGAACCTTTTCTCAAAATCTGCTGTAGATACAAGCTTGAAATTTTTTTCTGTAATTAAAGTATACCTATCAGATTATACTGAAATGAGCTTTTGAAACATTTTGAATTTTAGAGTAAATTACAAGATATTTTGTTAGGCATAGTAAAACTTGGCACTTTTCTCACACAAAAAAATTAAATTTTTTTTTCTAAGTTTATTACAAAAAGCTCATTTCAATAAATATTAGGGAACCTAATAAATAAGACATAAAAAGTTTAGATACCTGTGAGCGGTAGTTCCTGAGAAAAGGTACATCGAGTTTAACCTTTTGAGGCCGGGGCTTTGGTAGCAGTAAAAGCTACCAAAAGACGGGAAATCTTGAACCGAATGCTTTCCCTCCGTTAAGAAATCACCTCCTATTTACAACAAAGATTCCTGTGTAGTTTAATGGATTCTCAGAGGGGTGCATCTATGTCGCAAAAGGGAGATCTTTGAAAGAGATAAGTGGTTGAAAACCCAGGGACGTCAAATTTGACATATCACCCCACTTTTCAGCCTGTAAAATGGGGGAAAAAGACATGGCCAATAAAGTGGACAACACCGTCCATTCAAACAGGCAATACAACTGCCAATATATTGGCCATCCGTCTACAAAATTTTTAAAAAATCACGTTTGGAGAAAAACGAGTTTTTATGTAAAAATCCTCATTGATCAAAGCAGTAGATGAGAAATTAAAACTAGATTTTTTACAGTTCCAATTTTCATAGAGATTAAAGAATGGTATTTTTAGAAAGATCAAAGTGTAGAGAATTTGAAAATGCAAAAATCCGAAATCACAATTTTTTGAAGAGTTTAGGATTCCAACTCCCCCCAAAATAATTAATCATTTCGTACACTATTCCCAATGATATTAATTTTTGTTAGTTTTACTTCTTACATTTACCATATTTTGCCTATCGTTAAAACTGAAAACCACCGTCATAGGAACTTACTCTACAAATTCTTTGTGAAAATATCCAAAAGAATTCAACTCACCTTCATGGTGTAGTTTGATAGAACACAAATTTAGAAACCGGAGTTATTCCGGATTGGGACTGCATTCGGAAGTACACAACCAGCGTCTTTTATATGGCAATGGTTCAGTGCTGAAGAAGGTACTCGTGACGTCACAGAAACCCCCCCCCTTTTCTGATCAAACCAAAACTTAGTCATCATGCATATTTTCAGTCAAGTATTCAAGCATTTTGGTGTCACATCATTAAATGGAAGGTCAGTGGTGATAGCTTTCGACCTTCCACGTCAAACGCACTCCACATTTTTCGAATTAACCTACCCTCACCATTGTGCTATCTTCTGGAAAAGGGGCTTTTAGGTTCTTATTTACGATCTTGTCCCTATAAGCAATCAGATTGCTGAGGCATGCAGGCGAAGCAGTTTATCACCCATTGTAAAGAGAAAACCATTTTGGGTTAGTTTTGCAATTCAGTCATCCAGTAGAAAGGGTTCTGACTTGTGTTTGTTGATGTGAATCCTTTTGTTTGTTTGGCTTTTGTTTCAGAGTGTGAGTAGCATGTTTTTTTTCATTTACTGTTTTGCTTTTTAGAATTGGAATGTAATTTCGATTTCATTCGTCCCTTGACCCGTAAGAACTGGAGCTTCGGGTAGCGGAGAGAGTATATAGAGAAAGGAAAATGCAGCTTCACTTAACAGTAAAAGAATTTTTGACAATTCAAAAATTTTTTAGACTAAAATAAATGCCAAGAGATACCGATAGAATTTTTGGACTTTACATTTCCGCTTATATCTGATGTGTCACTTGATCGTAGCGGAATTAGTAAAATGGTTTTTTGAACAAGGGTAGATTCTGCCCTTCTGTCTGAATAGTTTGAAACCCTGCAAGCAATAAGAGCAAAACAAAGTGAAATTTTAGAAAACTGTTTGACAGGAACGAAGCTCATTCCTTGCATGGAATATAGTAGCCAATAATTTTAAATGCACACTGCGGAAAAAAAAAAAAAAAAAAAAATTTGGACAGTTCTATATCTCCCGTTCTACTGAGCCGATTGACGAAATTCAACTTGCGTTTATCATGTCTCGAAAGCGCGACTTAGGATATATATTAGATTTATATATAGCATTGTTCTAACATGGGTATTTTGACACAAAATCGGACTTTTTCTGAAATAACATACAAATTATCTTCCATATTTCGATTCTGCGACTCACATTACGCCAAACTATCAAATTTTGTAAAAATCGCACGAGTAGTTTTTAAAAAATGAGCTCTCAAAATTTTAGCTCCACAGTGTTAATTGAATTTGGTATATATTTATTAATATCTCTTTTTGTATTAAGCTTATCTGATTCTTCCTTCCACATTTCCAAATTCAGGTTCATTCCAAATAAAATTCACCCCTTTTTTATGATTTATTTCTAAAATTTGTATTTTAAAATATTATTTAGAAATTTTTCAAAAACAATTTTGAATTATAATCTATGAAATTTTTACCATCATCTTAAAGTAGACGTATTTCTAAGCATACCTTGCAAAAAATTACAATTTTTATTCAAAATTTCCGAAGATATACGTGAATTTATATACTGAAATTTATACTTGAAATTTGGCATATTTGTTGAAAGCGAT